TTTTAAAAATATTTTATATTTATTATTTTTATTTATATATATTATTTTATTTATAATTTTTTTTAATAAATTATATTTTTTTTTAATTATATTTATAAAATAAATATTTAAAAAAATATTTTTAATTTTATTATATTTTAAAATATTTAAAAAAAATTTAATAAAATATTTATTTATTTTTTAAAAATTTTTATTATAAAATTTAAGTTTTTTAAATAAAAAAAAATTTAAAAAAAATTAAAATTTTAATATATTATTATTTATTAATTAATAATATTTTTGATTTAATTATTTAAATTTAATTTTTAAATTTAATATTATTATTTAAATAGTTATTTTAAATTTTACTTTTATAATTAATTTTAATATTTAAAATTTAAAATTTAATTTTTTAATATTTTTTTTTTTTTTATAAATTTAAAATAATTATTAAAATAAAAGTTTTTAATATATAATAAATTAATTTTATAATATAATATAAATTAATTATTTTTAAAAAATAAACTTTTAACTTTTAAATTTATATTAATAAAATAGTTAAATTAATTATAAATATAGTTTTATTAATATTTTATAATTAATAAATATAATAATTAAATTTAATTTAAATATTATATTAATAATTAATTATTAAACTTATTTAAATAAATAATATAAATATAAATTTATATATTTAATTATATATTTTAAAGTTAATATAAATTAATATTAATTTATATTAATTTTTATTATTTTTATATTAATTAATATATTAGTTTTATAATTATCTAAAAGCGCTTACTTAATAAGCCTATTATTGCAATTATAAAAGCTAAGTTATAATATTTATTAAATTAAAATAAAAATATTTTTTTAATTATATATTTAAATATAATAAAATTTATATTAAAAACTTTTATATTATTAATTTTATATATATTTTATTTTTTTAATTATATATTTAAGTATAATAAAATTTATATTAAAAACTTTTATATTAATAATTTTATATATATTTTATTTTTTTTCTAAAATCTTTTAATATAATATTATATTATAAATATAAAGTTAAAATAATTTAATATATTTTATTATAAAGTATAAATTATATATTTGCCTTTTTAATATAAAGAGGCAGGGGCCTAGTAGGCCCGCTTATTAGTTAACCCACTTAGTATATAAAAATATTCTTTTAGTATTTTATCTTTTTTAATTTAGAAATTGTTACGACCTGGCTCTTATGGTCGTAACAACGGGCCTATAGGGTAGGCGGAACCGGATCAACTATGGACCGACAGACCAATCAGGGCTGACGGCCACTTTGATTAGGAAAGCTAAGAAAGCTAGCTTTCCACAACGATCCAGGAAAGCTGGGAAAGCCAGCTTTCCATCGCGATCCAGCACAGACGACTGGATATATAAGTTTACGTTCATATCACTCATTTAAGATATCTTAGATAGCCAGGTGTTAACATAGCAATCAGATTGGATTCAGCTACCACTCCACTCGCTAGTGACAAGATTGCCAACCTGACCGACCGCTAACATAAACCTGAACTGCCGGTTTGTGCCCCAAGAACAGCTAATTTTAGATTACTATAGGAACCCGGTTCGTCACAGAAATGGCTATTTTTGCAGGGGTTATAAGTGCTAGTTATATAGGATTTTAAGGTGGCCCACTCCTATGACGAACCAGTTTCCTATATATTAGTATACAGGCTTTCCAAGGGACAAACCTCTAGGTTCAGGTTTATGTTGGCAGGCGGTCAGGTCGGTATCAGTGTGACGAACCGGTTTCCTATATGTTAGTATACAGGCCTTCCCAAGGGACAAACCTTAGTTCAGGTTTATGTTGGCGGGCGATCAGGTCGGTTACGGGCAATTGTAAGTATCACGTAGTTAGTAGAGTGGTGTCTGAATCCAATCTGAATGCTATGGTGGTGTGAACAACTGGCTATCTAAGCTATCTAAATGAGTATAAGAACGTAAACTTATATACACAGTTGATCCTGGGCTCGTATGTCTCGTGAGACGAGCTGGTAGAGTCGTGGCTCGTCTGGCTCGTCTGAAGCGTTACACGAGTCGGATACTATTGGCTGGTCGGCACATAGTTAATCCGGTTCCGCCTACCTTATAGGCCTGTTGTCGCGACCATAAGAGTTGGGTCGTGACAATTGGGCAATGTAAGTATCACGTAGCTAATAGAGTGGTATCTAAATCCAATCTGATTGCTATGGTGTTAACAACTGGCTATCTAAGTTTTCTAAATGAGCGTAAGAACGTAAACTTATACACCCAGTTAGCTGGGCTGGATCGTAATGGATCGATGCCGATTTGCATTGATCCTGTTCCTGCGTCGATGGAATCAACGCCAATTCTCGTCAACCCAATGCTGATTAGTGCATCGGTCCTATATTTATCCAGGAGCACCTACCCAGTAGGCCCATTGTCGCGACCATAAAAGACAGGTCGTAACAACTCCCTTGTATAAACATCTGTTCCTCTCTACATGTATGTCTCAGTGTTAAGGTCTCAAATATGCTATAGCAAACTTAGTGGATTGCTAGACGGCTGCTGACATCCCGAAACGCCGAATTGCATGCTTCTACAGACTTGGCAGCTATGAGTGATCCAGCAGCATGAAGCTGTGTATACACAAAGAAACAAAATAATCTCTCTTACATACTATTGCACCCGAGAATAAACAATTCTGTTGTCATGTGATGTCAGAATTGACATTTCAGTGCTCTTCTAAAAAAAAAAAAAAAAAAAAGACCGCGCATGATTTACTCCTATATATTACATTATTTTCCTTAAGATCAGATAATTAAACACAATACTAACAATGAGTATTCTGCCAAACATTGGCGATTTAGGCCTTCAAAAGCATCGGGCTTTTCTCTCGCGTAGCCACCACCAGACGAAAAGCATAAAGATAGTCAAAGGAATGACAATGGCCCAGTATATCCAGAACTTGTTGGAGAACTGCCACCCATCTTCCGCAAAGGAGAAGAAGGTAGTGCTGAAAAGTGCCTGAAATAACATGAGTCAGTGAGTGGTGTGTCGAGTTATACACGCTCGTACTGCTTACTGAAATGAAAGTTGCTGGCAAAAATACTATTGTCAGGAGAGTAAGCGACTTCATGATCGCGTTATCTGAGCTTGCGAGCATATTGTAGGCCCATATGAACTAGTGAGCTAGTGGCCAGATAATCTTTTCCTTTAGGCGTATTGCTTTCACCTGGGTTGAGAAGTTTCTTGGTTAGAATCCGGAACCAAGTGCCTATCATCGTGTTTAAGTAGTGAGTTAAATGTTTATCGCCATGGAATATATACTGAGGCTTATAAGTACATTCTTATCGCTTCCGTTCGAAGCAAACGAGCTTTTAGATCCCAAGTAGCCATTAAGATCAGTACACATCTTACTGCTGAGTAAGTCTGGCGCGTGGATTGGCTTTAGAATCTTTCTGCGATCAGCTTCTGGGCAATCATCCGCATACCAGTCACCAGACTCCAGGAACCTATGATAACATAAAATTAGTTGTGTAGGATGAAATGAACATTTTATCATACACATAGCACACTTTAGGCAGAGCCATATCATGCGCTAGAATGTCAAAATAGCGCGACACCCAGGCCTCTTTAGTAACTGTAACGATGTTAAAAAGTCGACAAAAATCGTTAATAGCTGGCATTAAGCGTACAGTCGTATTCCACCGTACTTGCAAGAGAGCGCGTGGTTGTCATGATAGACATTTAGGTCGGCAAGACTTCAATGCAAAGCTGTGATATTGTTATAATGGGTTCATTACGGATAAAATAACTCATGGCGTGTCTCACAGTTTATGTTCTCTAGAGAGGCTTTTCTTCATCGATGAGAACATCGAAAAGGGTTAAGAACGTAAGACTGCTGAACTCGCCAATGCAAAGGAAAGGGGAATATGACCATGTGTATGTCCACGTAATTAGGTAGAAACATCTATGTATGCCCTTGTCGGCCGAGGGTGTCCACTTGCACTATCTAGGCATTAAAAGCAGGAGTCGGAAACATTGCATGATGTAATATTAATAGCATACTAATATGACTTACTACATATCTTTGCAGCTACAGGGGTTACCGGCAGTGAAGCTGTATGAGCTAGTAAATTTAGTCATTTATAAAAATGCTCTAACGGGTTGTCACATCTCTAATAGATCCTTGCTACTCTATAAGCGGAAAGGTATAGATCAAGTTAGATAGCTTAGGCTAATGATTGAACTGGTCAGCACTACCTAATACCACCTAAGAGTAAAATAATAGCAGTGTAATATGTTAAGCAGGTAGTAGATTCTCACTAGGCCCATATCTAGGACTGTTATTGTTTTAAGGAGAAGGATAAGGCGGATCAATTTCAGTTTATTCTTGTTTGCTTCATAAGATGTTGTGATATCGACAAGTCGCCGTTGTAAGTGGCGTCATGACTCTACAGCTATCTATTGCGCTGCAGGTATTTAGAAATTGCTCTCTTCATCGTCGTCCAACATAGCCGTTGAATCGAGTTTCTCCTGGTCTTCTGGATCGCGTTTCTGCTGATCTTGTAGTTGTTCACTTCCCTGCTGATTCGAGCCAGAGGAAGTAGCAATTATCTCGCCATGAAATCCTGCCATTTTCTGCTGTGCATTTTCTCTAGCCCTAACAGCATCATTGTGCTTCCCCTCGCAATCTTTCAACGCATCTTGCAGCTTATTCACTGTATGTTGCGCTGCCTCTAGATCTCCAATAGCTGCCAGCGATTTAGAATCAATAGCGAGCTTGTGGACAGTATCGGCTGCATCTCTTGCAGCCCTAGCAGCCTTTGTAGCGTCTAGAGCATACAGGGTGACACTGACTGCGATGCTGGAGGTGTCTGAAGCTGCAGCAGTGTGGTTCATTTTGCCCTGGGGTGCCATTCCTGCTGCTGACTCGGTATAGAAGTCGGCAATTCCAACGTAATGTGCAGAGCGGGCGTCACGCGTCACCGATGTTGCCAGCTTATGGACCTGAAGTTCACACCGTTCTGCCGCCGCGGCTTCATCCTTTGCCCAGGCGGAGAGTGAGGAAGCGCGTATCTTAGCCTTTTCTACATCATCGATGATTTTGGTTGAGGCCTCCCGATGATGCTCCCGCACATACTGCCATGCTACGCCCACTGACCCCCCGAGAAGCCACCAGCCAGTCCAAGGGTGAAAGGCCAGCCACAAGAGGGGAAAATGAGTCCAAGAAGGGATCCTAGAACGATAACTGATATAGAGATTTAGATAGTTCCTATACCCATATCGTAAGGGACCGGTGACATTCATGGTAGAGAATATAACTCCGATAAGGGCAAGTGCGGCAAGTAAGATCCATTGCAGGTATGGCTCGGATAAAGCCTCCGTTGTCCTCAAGGAAGATGCAATGAGCCATGTTGCCGGAATTAAAACAACTAAAACCAAGTTAATAAATGAAGCACTCATTCTATTGCATACCGTACTGCATAACCATACGTTCTGTAATGCCAGGTACGTAGCCCGACTCAGTGGCGGGAGAGCTATAGTATGTCCCCAAAGCTAGAAGTAGGGCTGGCCGACGCAATTTGTTAGTTATAACTTGTACGCTATAATAGATGTTGCACTTACACTGATAATGAGAAGGATTCAGAAGTGCAACTGGTACAACTGAGCGGCCTCCAAGAAGAAAAAATCCAGCAACAACAGCGAAGCCAGGAGCTATCCGATGGTTAGCAGAGCATTCTAATAAACGATTTCCATATCCATAACAAATTTGAGATTATACTCACTGCTATACGTAGCCGACAATGCGTCGTTCTTTAGAGTGGAGTGATGGTATAGCAAAAACAGCAAGGCAATAAGTGCCCAGTTCTGCCCATCGCCCACAAATTGGTAGGGTATGGCATCTCCCACTGCGTTTGGATCACTGAAGAGCGAAATGGCGGCAATAATGACTACCCCTATTTAGTCGTTAACACGGCATATTGGGAAGCTCTGATTCGTGGCGTTTACAGTGATATTTTTTCTCAGATAGTAGCTCTTGCCGGAGGATGGAGTTATCCTTTAGCATGTATAAAGCGGCTGCTATTAAAATAGCTGGAAAAGAGTATGTTGATTTGATTGTACCAGCCGAGCTTAGAGCCAACAATACCAGGCCAAAATCTCAAGGAAGCGGTTAGTACTTGCTAGTTACCAAGTCCAGTTGGATAACCTACAATGGCTGTCTGGTCTGCGCAGGAATGAAGATGCATTCGAAGTATCTGGCATGGTTGTCGGATAATAAAATATGAGCAGCGTTCAGAGTAACTTTTAGGATGGCCAACCCGAAAGCCCTCGTGGGAAATCTGAATAAGGGTTAAAGGTATTACCCGACAAGAGTGATCAGGGAGTTGGAAGTAGATATCTAGCTGGAGCAACCAGACTTTCTCTTACTATTGCCTTTCGTTTTCGACCGTATGTCATTGTTATCCTGCTTCTCCCTGCGTGTTTTGCTATCATCAGTTGTATGCGTGCTTTCGTATGCAGATGTTCATCACCAGTACATTGGGCTTTTTTCTTGCATTAGCGCGGTAAACTTGAGTCCAGAATCCAGACCATTGAGTCAAAGATCCTTGTTCAGTTTTGGTCCAACAGCGCGACCATATGGTGTCTAGAATTTTCCCACATCCTCCTAAGCTCCAGTTTTCGTCCACCGAATAGCGAATCGCATGTGTCATGTGTCAACGGCAATCAAAACCGCAAGCGGCCCCAACACCCTGGCGCTGTAGCATTGAGGTCATCTGCAACTACCTGTACGCGTCAAAACGCAATGGCGCCATTGATATCGCATAGCAAGCAAACAGACAAACAGAAGCAACCTGCATGACGCTCATTAATTATTAATCAATGCGCAGATGCTAGTAAAAATTGTTTCTATTTGATAATAGACCTTGGGCAGCGTTGCATCTATAGGTAGCTGCAAAAAAAGGTACCTGTGGCCTCCAATACCCCTCTTTATGTACGAAGTAGACGCGGAGGGCATTCCGGTAGCTAGCTTGGTGCGGCTTGTGATGTATGCAGTAGTAAAAGTGACAATACAACTGACAATACTACTCTATACCTGAACTATTTCTCATACATAAAGCAAAATTCAGGTAGCCACTGTTAATGCATGCCCCACTAAATGCAAATACACACACCACTCTTTCTATGCCCAATCATCTTCCAAGTTCTTTAGGCCCATAGTCCTAGTCTTGGATTATCTTGGCCTCAACTTATTGGTACGCTTGACAAAGAGGCACCACCTCGGCTGCGCTCCGGATCCGCTTTGCTCTCATACTCTTTGTATTACTGTACTATCCAGGTCTCCATTAGTCAAGAACTCTCCAATATCCCCTTATGTAAACGCTTACAGTTGCAGCTTGAATGCCATTCGAACGATGCACAGAATTCCCAGGCGACGGCGGTCCTATACTAGACGATATGGTGAAAAGCCTTTACCTCTCCAAAGCCCATTAGGGGAAGAATCACCTTATATCATATAGGTACAGCCTCTACTTCGTAAACCTCTGCGTTTTCTACACCTAATTAAAATCCCCAACCTAAACCAGTTTTACACTAAGACATATTATATATATTGCCTACGTAAATATCATCTGAGTTATTATATTTATTTTATAGCTGCAAGTATATATTGTTGCTGCCCAAGTATTATAAGTACCTGATGATAATCTTACATACGTGAGCTATTTATTCTACATGCAGTAGGATTCAGGTAGCAACTAATGCATGTCTCACTAAAATACGACATATAACTGCATAGAACTTTTGGCAACTCTCAATATATATTATATACTTTGCATCTGCGATATTATCCGAGATATGATATTTTATAGCTGCAAATGTATGCTTTGCAGCCCAGGCATTATGGAGCAGACGTCATCGAGCTAGTCTGTCAGAATCGAAGAAACTCTTGCACAAGTGTCAAAGACTTGATCCAGATTCTGGAACGATACATCGCCCCTCTGTTGATGTAGCTCCCATAGGATAATGGTATTTATTAAATAATTTTGCCGCTAGCATGGTTAGTATAACATTCTGAGAGCTTTTCTAATACTCCACCAATTAGTCGATGCATGGTAAAACCCAGAGAGCCTTCATAAAGTATTCAGGCCAACCCTCAACTGTGTAATTCTAAGGGCATACATAATCCGCCCTTGCTATTACATATTGCAAGGATGAAGCACGATTACGATATGCTCAAGTACCCTTGAAGCTATTCGTGAGACACTTATTATTTAACTTGAAGGCATTCCTATTGCAGTCAACATTTTCATCGCCTCTACACCGTGCCCAAGCCTGATTATTAGCGTAGATATGGCGACTCCGAGGTATAGTGCTCTCCGTATCTTCTTTTTTTCTTTCTTCATTGTCATCTCTTATTTTTCTTCACCACCACCCCCCCACCCCGTTCTGTGCATGCCCTCGTGCCATAGAGTGCTTGCTAACGGTTATGGAACTCGGAAGGACACACCAAGACTATACCGTAGGATGGATATCTATAATCAACCCTGAGATGGCAGCATTTCGAGCGCTGTTGGACGAAGAGCACGCGCCGCTCCCAAAGGTGGGCAATGACGACAACGCCTATATTCTTGGCCGGATGGGAAGGCATAATGTTGTTATGGCATTTCCTTCGGCTTACGGCACAAATCCCGCCACTCAGACAGTGACAAACATGATACGATCTTTCCCGAACATTCGTTTTGGGTTGCTTGTGGGGATTGGAGGTGGCGCTCCACAACCCATCAATCCAGATCCACGAAAAGATATTCGGCTTACAGATGTCGTTGTTAGCTCACCCGAGAAGGAACTTAGTAAGCTCATCCAGTGACAGTTACTACGATTATCATACATAAATAAATTACAAAGACTTGATAAATGCTAATAAAGTCTTAGGTGGCGTTATTCAATGGGATATGGGCACATTAGAAGAAAGCGGCCCTGTAATAAAATCACATCTAAATAAGCCGCCTCAAGTATTGCTTAAAGCAATGAAACTTTTGCAGTTGAACCACGGCTTTGGAAAAGGTAATATGTGGCATTATATAGATCAAGTTACTCGGTCAAATATGCCAGGCATGGAAGCCGCTCGACATCCCGGAGCAGATAATGACCAGCTATTTCAATCAGGTTACAAGCACAAGGATGGAGACACCTGTTTGGGCTGCGATACATCCAAAATTGTTGCGCGAGCAAAAAGAGAATCAACTCGTGCTGAGGTCCATTACGGTCAAATCGCCTCTGGCAACATGGTGATGAGGAATGCTAAGAAGCGAGACACTCTCAGAAAGATGTGGCGCGTGATTTGCTTAGAGATGGAGGCGGCAGGCCTTATGGATAACTTCCCATGCACTGTCATTAGGGGTATTTGCGACTACTCAGACAGTCACAAAAACAAGCAGTGGCAGGCATATGCTGCTCTTACGGCCGCAGCCTATGCTAAAGACCTATTGATGACAGTTCAGCCGGAGGAAGTTGAGCTCACGCCGCCCGCCAACGACATCATGAATGGAGAAAGACTTAGGCATTGGGATGGAATAGGACCGCCACCGCCTGGAAAAGGGGATGGAGGAGGAGGAGGCAGTGGTGGTAGTGGTGAAGGAGCAGGAGGAGGAGGAAACTGGTCAGTGCCCCCAAGGTTCAGGCTCCCACCAGTCCAAAGTCTCTGGGCTGCCATTCGAGATCGCAATATAAGGAGGATCAGGCTCCTTCTCCGCATGGGCGTTAATCCCAATATAAGAGATCATCGCAACGGTCGAAATTCGTTGCACAAAGCCGCATATTGGAACCGGCCTACTGCGGCCCGAATCTTGATTCCATATATGAACAACATTAACGCAGAGGATGATAAGGGACTTACAGCACTTGACGTAGCGAAAAAACGTGGCCATGGCGCGGTTGCTAGAGTGTTGCGAAACCATGGAGCAAGCTAGCTTGCACGGAGTGCCAATTTTGTTGAGTGAAAGCCGTGTTGGCTCTCCTGCTGCTGGATTTCCATGAACAATTTACATTCTTTCGCAAATAAATGACTATTGTATCCCATAGGCCTTCTATCTACGAGTTACTAATCACATTGTGTGTAGCTATAGCCTTTTGAGATTGCTCCCTCTCTCTATTAAGAAACGATGTCCATAGCTATGTTTTAATTCTTACATATGTAAAAAGCATATCACAAAAGCATAGGCTTTAACCTGACTATTGTTAAATATTATCGAAATGCTTGACTTTTCGTCTATTTTTAAACTTCTATTCCGGGACTTACTTCACAGGAAGCGGCTTCAAACAGTATCAGAGCTATACTCTCAGCAACGCTGCCGTCAAATCAAACAAATCAAATATAGGGGTTGGATTTGATTGTTTGACTCTATAGCTAACTATAATACATTTGATTAATTGATTGATTTGTCAAATATTTGATAGATTTGAATGTATTATATTTTCACTACCCAACCTCTTATGCGACCTCAGAAGATACGTACCCGGAGAAACGTAGGACCGAAGGACCAATCATAGGGCAGGAGCGACGGAGCGCAGCGCTCCGTACTACAATGGAGCGATGGACTACATCGCTCCTAAAAGAACGACTGGATATATACAACGAACCGTAAACCTATATGCTAGTATAGTTTAGGATTTCCAAAGGATAAACGAAAATTCTAATTTATATTAGTAAATAAACTAAATTAAATATTTAAATAATATAAATAATAATATTACTAATTAATAAAAAATATTAAATAAATATAATTTAAATATTATAATTTAGAATTAATTATTTAATTATTTTAAATAAATATAAAAAATATAAACTTATATATTTAGTTATATATTTTAAATTATAATAAAAAGTTTATTTTTTTAACTTTTTTTTAAATATTTTTAAAAAATATTATAATTTAGCTTTTATAATTATAATAATAAACCTATAGCGTAAATTCTTTTAAATAATTATAAAATTAATATATTAATTAATATTTAGTTAATAAAAATTAATATTAATTTTATTAATTTTAAAATATATAACTAAATATAAAAATTTTAAAATTAAATTATTTAAATATAATAAAGAAAATTATTAAATTAATTTAATTAATAAAAAACTTTTTAAATTTTATAAAATTTATAATTTAATAAAAATAAAAATTTTAATGTATTATTAATTATTAATAATTTAATAAAATAATAAAAAAATAAAATTTTATTAATATTTATATTAAATATTAAAAATTAATTAATTAAAATAAAATAATTTATTATATTTAATTTTAAAAAAATATATAATTTTATTTAAATTAAAATAAAAAAAATAAAAAATAATATTTTAAATATAATATAAATTATTTAAATATTTAATTATATTTTTTAAATTAATTAATATATTTATAATTTTTTAATAAATAATAAATTATATATTATAAAATTTATTAATTAATTTATTATTATATATTTAAATA